ATCATCGCCATCATCATCATCATCATCATCATCATCATCATCATCAACATCAGCATCATCAACAGCATCATCACCAACATCATCATCAGCATCATCAGCAGCAGCATCAACACCAGCATCATCAGCAGCCTCATCATCAGCATCATCATCATCAGCATCATCATCACCATCATCAGCATCATCATCATCACCATCGTCATCATCATCGTCATCATCATCGTCATCGGCAGCAACAGCATCATCATCAGCAGCAGCATCATCATCATCATCAGCATCAGCAGCAGCATCAGCATCAGCATCATCATCCTCATTATCATCAGCGTCAGCATCAGCATCAGCATCAGCATCATCATCGTCATCATCATCATCATCATCATCATCATCAGCATCATCATCATCATCATCATCATCATCATCATCATCGGCATCATCATCACCATCACCAGCATCATCATCATCAGCATCATCAGCAGCATCATCACCATCATCATCAGCATCATCATCAGCATCAACATCAGCATCATCATCAGCAGCATCATCAGCATCATCGGCATCATCATCGTCATCAGCATCATCATCATCATCACCATCATCATCATCATGATGATCATGATCATCAGCATCATCATCATCATCATCATCAAAATCATCATCATCGTCGTCATCATCATCATCATCATCATCATCATCATCATCATCATCATCATCGTGATCAGCATCATCAGTAACATCATCATCATAATCATCAGCATCATCAGCATCATCAGCATCATCATCTTCATCGTCATCATCATCATCATCAGCAGCAACAGCAGCAGCATCAGCATCAGCATCAGCATCATCATCATCGTCACCATCGTCATCAGCATCATCATCATCATCATCAGCAGCAGCATCATCAGCAGCAGCATCATCAGCATCATCATCATCAGCATCATCAGCATCATCAGCATCCGCATCATCATCATCATCATCATCATCATCATCATCATCATCATCATCATCAGCAGCAGCAGCAGCAGCATCATCATCGTCATCATCATCCTATTCCTCTTCCTCCTCCTCCTCCTCCTCCTCCTCTCCCTCCTCCCCCTCCTCCCCCTCCTCCCCCTCCTCCTCCTCCTCCTCCTCCTCCTCCTCCTCCTCCTCCTCCTCCTCCTCCTCCTCCCCCTCCTCCCTCCTCCTTCCCCTCCTCCCCCTCCTCCCCCTCCTCCTCCTCCTCCCCCTCCGTCCCCCTCCTCTCCTTCTCCTCTCCTCCTCCTCCTCTCCTCCTCTCCTCCTGCTCCTCTCCTCCTGCTCCTCCTCCTCCTCCTCCTCCTCCTCCTCCTCCTCCTCCTCCTCCTCCTCCTCCTCCTCCTCCTCCACTCCCCCTCTTCCTCCTCCTTCCTCCTCTCTCTCCTCCTCCTCCTCCTCCTCCTCCTCCTCCTCCTCCTCCTAGATCGGCGGGGTCAGGGGCCAAAACAATATGGGATGTGCCACATCTCTGAAAATCGATAGCACCCCTTTACGCAGATCGGCGGGGTCAGGGTCCGAAAACCCAGGGGATTCTCAACATGTTGAAATTCGGTGGCACCCCTCAAGCGGATCCGTAGGGTCATGATCCAAAAACACTAGGGACTTGCCACATGTTTTAAAATTCGGTGGCACCCCTCACGCAGATCGGCAGGGTCACGACGTCTTACCAATCGCCAGGTATGGTAACCCCTCTGGTCATCTATTGGTTTTGCTCATTACGAGTCGGCCTCGCATGAAGTTCCGATATTGCTTCAAGACAGCGCCCAGGCCTCATGACATAGCTCTTGCATAGCGCATTCTCCGAGAGAGAGGGTCTGCGGCAGGGGGCGAAGCCCTTACGGATAAATCAGCGAATCAAAACTGAACCGGCGCCGATCGCCCTTCGACCTCTTCCTCTTCCCCATTATGTCTTCTTGTTTGCTTATTTCCACCTCACCTCGTAGCCTTTTCCTCTTCCTCTCCTCCTTCACCCCCCTCCTCCGCCTCCACGGCGCAGCCCATCCTCCTACCGCCCGTCGTCACGTCCTCGCCGCGGCCGTCGACAGCGACGGCTGTCCGTGCAACACTTCAAAGAAAGTACCACCACCCATCGGCGCCGCAATGGCAACGAACACGAGTCAAACGCCGGCGGCGGAATAGTCTCGGCGGGCGGAATGAGCGCAGCGACAAAATAACAACAAAAATGCGAAGCCAACTTCATGCCCCCATCGTATGGGGAATCACGCACACGAGAGGCACAGCGGAGCCCCGATGATGGCCCCAAGAGCGCGCCAAGTGGCTTCCAAGAGAGCTCAACATGGTCCCACACGGTCCAAGAGCGATCGAAGACACCCGAAATGGCCTCCAGATGGCCCAACACGCCCCTGAGAGGCCCCCAAGATGCGTCCCAAGACGGTCCCTGGACGCAGACATGTACGATTCCCGTCGTGAAACGTACAATGTTCACACATCCGCCTTCTGGGCTTTCCGACGCTCCTAGACGGCCCAAGAGGCCCCGAAAACCGCCCCAAGACGGCCCAAGAGGCCCCCAAGACGGCCCCGCGACGGTCCAATATGGCCCCAAGACGGCCCAAGAGGTCCCCAAAACGGCCCAAGAAGGCTCCAAGACGGCACCAAGAGGGGCCCAAGAGGGCAACCAACAATTCAAAAATCTAGCTTTCCGCCCCCACGAGCCCCAGGGGGCCCCAAAGCGCCCCAACAGGCCGCCAACGGCCCTCAAGAAACCGCCAAGACGCCCCAAGGAGCCCACAAGAGGCCCCCAGGAGGCCCCCAAAAGACCCCCAGACGCTTCCGCATTGCGAGCCGTCACGCCAACTGCAATGCACTCCGCGCATACAACCTTACTCTTCCTCGCGACGTGCTCACTATCTTGCTCGGCGCTAATGTGCTGCTGCCGCGCGAACTGTTTCGTGCGCGCTGCGAACGTCAACAGCCTCTTCACCCGTTTCGACTCATCTGCCACATCTGTCCCTGTGATGCTTCGCTGATCACAGCTTCCACACACTACTCTTGCTCCTTTCGTCTTCCAGTGCTCCTCCACTTGGTTGCGGGTCGAAAGGCCGACCTCCCAGAGAAGGACACCCCGCACCCGGGTGCACAGCACGCAAAGCGCTCGCAAAACACGCCCCAGACCACCGGCATCACGCAAACATTTGGACCCCTACGTATCTGCCACCACCCGCGCGCGACATCGCACCCTCACACAAGACGCCGCTGGCCAGAAACTCCTGGCCTCGCAACACTCACAGAAGGGGTCGGCGGATGTGGCGTAAGCCTGTAGAGTCACGCACACGAGAGGCACAGCGGAAGGCGCACGAACACGCGAGTGACACCGATTGAGCTGCCCACACCGTATTCACGTCGTTCGTAAGTTAACACGCTGCGTGAACCATGCGCGCTGCAATACTCACAATAGTATGTGTGGTGAATATCAGGTTGGAGCTCGAATGCGAAGGAATCCGCGCCATGCCGATGTCCTCACCACTAGGTGCCAATTCTCATGCACGAAGGGCACCGCGTCGGCGTCGCTTTGACTCACGCACCGAAATGCGGAAGTGGTTACGAAGCCTCCAAAAGATGCGTGACACAATTCCTGCAGGAACCAACTGTTGTTCACTGTTTCCCATGTCCGCAACATTGAAAATTCATGAGTCGCCACGCCGGCTGCATGCCAACCCAACAGTCGACGCGCCAAACGCGTGCCACGGAATCGAGTGCAAACCATGCGAATGGCACGGGCCTACTTATTGGCCTTTGTGCATTTGGCACGTGAGGACAAGGCTCGGAGAAACGATTGGAGAGAATATTAGCGGCGCACGACCACCTGAGTCAGTAGAATAGAGCAGGGCAGGGTAATGTGAAGGGCGGGGATGTGTGAACGTGGCCGAAGTTGCCTGGTGCGCGAGACTATTGAGATCGCAAGACTGCTCGCTCGAATGAAACAAGTGGAGTGTCACCTGCAGCCTTCAGCGTGCGCTCGAGCATCTTCCGGAACTTAACTGACGTTGCGGGGAAACGAAGGGGTTTGGAAGTGGGAGGAAAGAGTGGACGGGAATGAAGGATGAAACGCAGGAGTGGGAAAGTGGGAGAAAAAAATTGGGCCTGAATGAATGATCATAATACTCCAGGCTTCTGATGACTCGCCGGTCGACATTGCAAGAGTCTGCATGCCAGACTCTGTGCCGAGGGAGGTGGCTTAAAATAGTGTTGCAGCCACAGTTCACGAGCCTGTGTGAGAATCCGTTCAACGACCTACGATTATCGCCTTAGGTTGCCACGTGCGCCGCTTCCAGATCTGTACAAAATAGTGCCTCCACCTCGAACACCAGGAACAATGGATCTGGAAATCCCACGAGCCCATTGGGCTAAGGTTGGCCTAACGTGCCCATTCTTTCCCTTCCCCAAAACACTCCTCCCGTCGGCAAGGGGTGCCCTCCCCCTCCCCTTGCTGAGGTTTCTTGGCGCGGATCGCGAGGTGCCAGGGCGCCCAAGATGGCTCAAGATGGCTCTCAGAGAGCATCCGATGCTCCAAGATGGCCTCCAAGGCGGCTCAAGGTACACGAACAAGGTTCAAGATAGCTTCCGACATGCCTCCAAGAGACCCGACGATGGCCGCAAGACGACTCCAAGTGCTCTCGGAGAGCCCCCTCAAGACCCCCCCATGAGGCCAAAATTCTTCGACTATCTCAGGAAACGCAATGATGCTGGCCTTCTCGCCTTCTCGCTTCCGATGCACCTTTGAGGCCCACGAGAGCCCCAAGATGGGCCTAAGAGGCCCCCAAGACGGCCACAAGAGCGCGCAAGATCGCCCCAATAGCTCCCCAAGAGGACCCCAAGGGGCGATTACGAGGGCCCCAGAGGGAGGGATACCAAACATTAGGACCCCTCTCTTTTCACCGATGCCCTCCACGATAGCCCCAAGAGAGGCCCTCCAGGGCTCCAAAGAGGCCCCCAACAGAGCCCAAAGAGGGACCCAGGAGGGCCCCACAAACCCCCAACAGCCCCACGAGAAACCCAAGATCCCCAAAAGCGATGTTGAAGGCTCTGTTTTCGTCCCTCCCCTTCCTCCCTTGCCTCCTCCTCCTCCTTCTCCTCCTCCTCCTCCTCCTCCTCATCCTCCTCCTCCTCCTCCTCCTCCTCCTCCTCCTCCTGCTGCTCCTGCTCCTCATCCTCCTCCTGCTGCTCCTGTTCCTCCTCCTCCTCCTCCTCCTCAACAGCATCATCATCATCATCATCATCATCATCATCATCATCACCACCACCACCACCACCACCACCACCACCAGCATCATCATCATCATCATCATCATCATCATCATCATCATCATCATCATCATCATCATCATCATCATCATCATCCTCATCCTCATCCTCATCCTCATCCTCATCCTCATCCTCATCCCATCATCATCATCATCATCATCAGTATCATCAGCATCATCAGCATCATCATCATCATCACCATCACCATCGTCATCATCAGCATCAGCAGCAGCATCATCATCATCATCATCATCATCATCATCATCATCATGACCATCACATCATCATCATCAGCATCATCAGCATCATCATCATCAGCAGCAGCATCATCAGCATCAGCATCAGCAGCATCAGCTTCAGCATCAGCATCAACATCCTCAGCATCAGCATCAGCATCAGCACCAGCATCAGCATCGTCATCATCAGCACAGCAACACCAGCAGCATCACCACCATTATCGTCATCATCAACAACAAGAAAGTCGGAATCATCGTCATCATCAGCATCAGCATCAGCATCAGCATCAGCATCATCATCAGCAGCAGCATCATCCTCGTCATCAGACTCATCATCGTCATAATCAGCATCGCTGTCGTCGTCGGCATCACCAGCACCACAACCAAAACCACCCAAACCACCACTTCAACCATCACCATCACCATCACGATTACCACCACCACCACCATCATCATCATCATCATCCTCCTCCTCCTCATCCTCATCAGCATCATCATCATCACCATCTTCCTCATTCTCATTATCGTCCTCGTCTTTGCCATCGTCTTACATATTATGTTCCTCTTCCTCGCCGTCGTGATCGTCGTCGTCGTCTTCCTCTTCCTCCTTCTCCTTCCCTCGCTCGGCCCCACCCAGGCCCGAGGGATGGCCCGAAGAGGCCCTCCAAGGCCACCCCCCTTGCTCCAGAGATCTCTCTGCTCACCCTGGTTGCCCGCTTTGTTTCACGATGTGTCTCTTCGTCCCTTTTCCCTACATTTATCATGGGCAGGGCGTAATGATGGCTGGGCTGGTTGGAACACTTTTTTGGTTCGCGGCTCCAAGGCGAGGGACAGGGAGCGTGCACAACGTCCGGGGCGCGGTACGATGTAAATTGGCCGCAGTGGCGTATGCACATGCCAGGGACAAAATGCCCCTGCTGGTTGGGACACGCGAAGCGTGAAGAATTTGTCAGCAGCATCCTCGAAGAGCCAGTCAGAATGAATATCATCCCAATCCTCTTGTGTCCAGTCTGTAACACACGGCTCACCCTCAGGCACTAGATCGAATGGATCAGGCATGACTGCGTCACTGACCACGGAGTCAGAAGCGATCACCTTCGTGCCGACCATGGGCGAATTCGGGCAAATGAGCTGGTGTAGAAAACTTCCGGGCCGTGGATGAAAACCAGCTGGATGAAGGACCTTGACCGAAAGCCCCTGCGCGATGAGCTCGTCCACTAAGAAAGATGTAACGGAGCTGCTCCGGTTCCAGTGGCCGAAGACGACGCGCGGCCCACCAAGAGGCGACGCTGACCAAGCAAAGCAACTCAATGCGCCCGCGAGGCACCTTGCACCGGCTTCGGTCCAGAATAGATCCGTTCCGAAGACTGTGTGATACTCTAGAGCGCCAGGCATTGCAACCTCTATCCTTCGCCTCGCTCGCTCTGGACGTGACCCAAGGCCAGACTTCAAGTGAGACTGCCCAGAATCTGAACATGCCAAGTCCTCCCAATCCAAACTCCGAACAATTGGAGCCGCTGAACTACCGCATGTGGTTACCGCTCCCGACACATCTTTCCGAAGCTGGGACATCGCCTCCGGCAAATCCGTGAGCGTCAGGAGCGCGCCTGGCAGGTTCTTGGCGAGAACCGTGCCCAGCCAGCCCCTGCCGCTCCCCAGCTCCAGCAGGCGAACACCACTGGGTGCCACGGAGCTCGGAAGCCGAGCCGCGCTCCAGCCAAGCTGCGCACAGCCCCCAGACGTCTCCAGCCAGCGGCAAAAGCTCTGCGCGCCCGGCCAGGTCTTCAGGTGCGTCGTGCCCGTACCCGACCGGCGCTGCTCGAGGCTGCTGCAGCACTCGGTGCGAGGCACGCCGAGGTCCCAGCTCTGGTCGGGACGCGGACGCAGATCGCCGCTGGCGTCGGCATCAAAGCCGACGTTGCTGGCAAGCATCGCTGCACGTTCTGTTGGAACGAGAGAGCGGCGCTCCGCTGCACGTTCTGTTGGAACGAGAGGGCGGTGCAACGAAACCGACTGGAGCCCGAACGCAATCTGAATCCAGACGGCCTTCGGCCAAAACGGCTGCGAAAATGCTTCTCAATCATTGGGGGAGGTCGTGCTCTTTCTCATCTGACACGCTTCAGATGCCTCGAAATGGCTTCAAGATCGCGGAAGAGAGGCTAATAGGACTCCAAAAAGGCCCTAAAGACACCAAGGACATCTTCAGAGTGCTCTCGCAGGCTGCTTGATGTGCTCAGACGGGTGGGAATAATTGATCCCCCCTCTCGTTTGATCGATGGTTTCCTGGGTCAGCCCAGAAGGCTCCAGGAATCCCTCGAAGGCCTCTGAAACACGAACTCAGATGGCCCCAAGAAGCCTCCTACAGGCGCATTATCAGCCTCCCGTGGAAAAATGTCGTTGGCCTGATACCACCAGTCGTTTAGGGCATAGGTGGTTTAACGAGTTCGATCCTCTCACCCCTTCGGTCCCCTCGGGGATGGGGTAACCCCTCCCCCTACCTTTTCCCCTGGCCTGGACGGAGGGTTTCGCGAGCGGTCGAAGCGTCCAAGAAGGCCCCAGAGGGCTCCGAGAGGCCACCAAGCAGCCGAAGATGGCCTCAAAAGATCGTACATTATTGGTAAGGGCGTAGGGAGTGAACAAGCTTACGCGAAAAGGCTACTCAGTTCCCCAAGCCCAAAGCACGAGTGCAACATCCACCCCCAACCTACTCGTCGGGGCCCTGAATATTCATATTGAGCCCTACAACTACAAACGCCAGTTGCGAATAACGAATGGGTAATCATACATTGTATGTTGCAACAACACATGGCAATTCCCCCCCCGAAATGCACGACGCTGCCCAATCGAAGTGTCGCAAGTAAGGAGCATACAAACATTGCGTGGTTCGCGTGCTGCTTAGTCTTTTACGCGGGGGGGGGGGGGGGGGTAGGGCAGAAAAGGAATGTTGAGCGCGGGTTTGGGCCGAGGTTCTAGTAAACCCAGTGTTCGTCAAACCCTAGGGGTGAGTTTACATGAATTGTGTCAGGTAGGGTAAATGTATGTTAGTCGGGGGATGGGCAGATGGCACCCTTAGAACACAAACGATGTGTCGTTTCAGTTGTTCTTGGTTGGCAGCTGAAGAGGCGCGGGAGGACGGCGACGGAGAATAATCAAACAGGACCCCCAACCGCCTCTAGGGGGTCGGGTTGCGCGCGCCTCACGAACTAGAAGATCGATGTCTCACAATCGCAGTGGCCCCGAAGGGTCGGCGGATCGATCGTCAGACAGCTTGCTGGGTGAACATTCACAAACACAGCTGGGCTCTCTGCGGTTCGCGTAGTTGCTTACTCCAGTGGGAGTGTCTTGCTCCGCGTTGCATCAAGCTTCTGGGGGGGCCTTGCATTGCGTTCGCATTGCTTTCATGCTGCCCCGTTCCACTTTCCATTGGATTGCATAGTTAGCCGTCGTATCGACTTGCATTGCAAGGCGCAGTAAGGTTTGCACTGCATTGCATCGCATCGCATCCCCATGCGCGAAGCAGTGTGCAGCCTTTTTGGCCCAGTGAAGTGTCACGCCCCCGCATGGCGGGGATCGACCACGACAGTCTGCCACCCTTCCCGCCAACGATCTAGACAGCCATGGGGACGAGCATGCGCCAGAGTCTCCAGTGCGGCGTGGTCGCAAGCGGGGCACGAAAATCAATGTGATTGATACATTTGGCGGCGTGTGCGTCTGGATCATATGCGGGGCGAGCTCATGCCAAGGATTTTCAGTTTCAAGGGAGCGTCATGCGTTTGATGATCGTGTCGTCTACAACATTGTACTCGGACACTGGGAGATTCACGAACAGGATGCCATTCCGAACCGTGATCAAGCCCAATGTTTGTTGACGCGCACCTTTGGTGATAATATAGAAGCAATATCGGGCGCCGTGGTATAGCATCTAACTCAAGCGTCAGAACTCAGATGTCCAGAACACCTTGCTTTCGGCAACGTTGATGTGCGGGGAGCAATCAAATACGCACGGTGCGAAGACATGGTTGGTACGCACGACAGACAGCATGACATCACATGTAAGGAGATGGTTCGTCTGTGGGCAAGCGAAGTTGGGAAAGCTGCGAATGACGTGCCAATATATGCAGTTATGACGTCAGGAGAATACGCTAAGCAGAGCAATGACACACTGAAAGTTGTTCCATTCAAGCCAAGCCTGAGGCGGTCGAAGCATCGTCTGTCATCGGACCATCTGCAAAGGCAGCAAAATATTTCAGGAGTTGCTTTGATGTCGATAAGCCAGAGTGTGTGGTTGCCAACGCTTCTCAGTTCTGTGTACCAGCACGGCCGAAAGGATCTACCATGTTCGCTGGGCTCCCAGCGGTTGCCATCATTACATTCCTGGGCGCAACTCAGCACCTCAAGAGCATGCACGTCGTGAAGCAGGCCAAGTTTGCATGGGCAAAGGTGTTGGCTCAGTATGACCACGATGAAGCGCAGCGCATGGTGAACGAATACCATGATATATCTCGGACTGTACTTCGGCTTGCACGGATGCGGTTGGATATTGTGCACATGACATTGTTCAGATTGTATCTTGCCGGGGAGCTGCACTGCTCCAGCATATACTTGTTCACGGATGGCAGCCTGCAGTGGCGAGGCGATGAGATGATGGCTAGCACTATGGACCTCATCAGTTGTGACAACGAGAGGTGGACATGCCTGAGGATGCTACTCCCTGCAGTCCGCATCGGGAACCGCCAGCTCGACCTGACCGGCAAGACGTACGCGATTATTTGGAAGATCATGCTGATCGTCGGGCCAAGCTACACTTCGTTTCCGAGTTTTGTGGCCAAGGTTGCGTCTATCACGTCGGACTTCGGGACAGAAGAGCTGTTGTGCACAACGCCAAATGCTCTGATCGATTGTTGCGGTCGTGTCGGTATACGTGTTCCGCCACGGCTTCGACGACATAGGCAACTGTTCCCTGTCGCACTCGTGGCTCCTGGGTGGATGCACATCATTGATACAGTTGTCAAGCGTTCGCGATGCAGTTTACCTTGGTTCCCGACGTGGTTAGGTGGCTTGAAGGCGTGCTTGCAGTTCTTGCGGTATGATTCGGATGCTGTGGTGAAGGCTACTCGGCAAACGCATCCCTCGGTAGCTCAGCTGGTTGCCAAGATATCGATACCATACTTTGCAGAGTGGCGATGGTGCACGTTGCACAAGGCATGCAAGGCGATGTCAGTGCTGCTCGACATATGCCGTCGGTTGTGGTCTTCATTCGATTTCGTTGCGAAGATCAGGGGTACGGCATTGCTGAAGAAGGTGAGAGCGTCCCTTCTCAGCCACCGTTTGGCAGTGCATTTCAAGTTCGTGGAGTGGGACGCCGACTGGCTTTCATCTTTGCAGTCGTGAGGAGGCTCATGCGCGTGCCACCAGCAGGAGTACAGGAATGGACGGACAGTTTCTTGCATGGTGAAGGGCCGTTTAATAACATATCCACGGGACCACGCGAATACAGTATTCGATGACGCCGTCAAGTAGATCTGCAACTGGTCATTGCATGATGTCAGTGGGGATGCCTCTTGGCAGTCGTCCTGCATTGGTGCTGTGCAGTATTGCAGATCATTGGGCATGAGGAAGCTACAATTCTTGGATCACATCCCGTACCGGCTTTCGCGGTTGGGCGAGCCTGGGATAGTTGGCCGAGTCTTAGCGCAATACCGAGAAGTCCCCAGAGATCAGCACCACCCAGTAACCTTGAAGTTTTTGGGCGACGATTCGCCCTTCAAGAGCTCGATTGTGCAACTGCCTGAGGCCGGCGGGGAACTACCTGACGGGCTCCGTCAAGCGGCGCAGCAGCTCGTCGACATCGCGCTCGACGACCACATCGCCGAGGGGCCACATGCAAAGGCGAAGCGTGTCTTGGGGAATTCACGATGCAGCAAGTTCCCGTTCGTGGCGTCATCACTTCGGCTGGCTCGCAACCTCAGCACGGTGCAGGAGTTGGTCACCGCAACTGGGGCAAGCATCCAGCACGCATGGAATGCGTGGTCTTCGGTGGTGAACGCGAAGAGGCCGACGAAGCCGATCAAGATGAAACGAGAACAAGTACATAAGCGAGTATACGAGCTCAACTCCCACAGGCTTCTGGGTCATCATCGACCTGGCGACGATTCGCATGAAGCCGACGATGCATTCGACGAGCCTGATGACCTTCGCGGCGGAGGCCCTGGAGATGCGGCTATTGTGGCACAGTGAAGCCCATACAGAGGGCAATCAGTTCCGAGGATTGACAGAGTCGCAGGAGCTAATGGCGGAGTTCTTCGGAGGCGTGCTGCAGCAGTACGACTATTTGTCAGTCCCCAGTGGGCCAGGCGATGATGTACCCTTCCACGCTTATCAGGTCATTGCGAAGCAGACGAAAGACATCCTCGTGGAGACAACTGGCACGGCCCCTACAGATACCACGACTTAGTTGTTCTATCTCATGGGCATCTTCGTCGACCCGACTTCCGAGACCGACGACGACGGGCGCATAGACGTGTTCGCGGTGGCAACGGTCTCAGTGCACTCCAGCATCTTTGAGGTTTTCGGCGACGACGTGACCAATCGCAGCCAAATCTACAGGTGGCAGGCGTGCGCCCCGCGGGTCGACGGCGGCATCGGCTTACGCGACAAGAAGGTTGCAAACGACGGCGCGGCAATCATGGGGTAATGGGGCTCAAAACTCGGTCCAGCCCCGCAGCCGGTCTGGCGTGCTCACGAGCGGAAAGCAGTCCGCGGCGCCCCCGCGCGCATCGGTGTCGTTGCCCGCAAAATCCAATGCCCCCTAGTGGGTTCATGGCACGGGCCGCGCCGTCGCCCGCGCAGCCCGCGCATACTAATCCGCGAGGTCACCGAACGGATTGCCGCCAGGCGTCGAAGCGCCCCCCGAAGTGGCGCGGGGCGCGGCGCCCTGGGGCGGCGCTGCGGGCGCGGGTCGGCCGCGGGGGGACCTGTGAGAGTCCCCGCCCCTCTCCTCGCGCTGCTCGATGACCTGGAGAAGCTGCGAATAGCTGACCCGGCAGCACTTCATCCCCAGTTTGTGGTACTTCGCGACGGCCGTGCCGTCCTCGGGGCTCGGCAGGCGCAAGCGAACTGCCGCGCCGCGATTCCGCGCGGTCACCCAGCCCTGTGGGTCGAACTCCGCGACGTTGTAGAGGTCAAGGGCAGCTTTGACGACAATGGCGCACTGGTCAGACTTGGATCAGGCACATCGGCTTCGTGACCTGCGCGCTCGAGCCGTCGGGTTTCGTCGTCACCGCATCGCACACCTTGCGGAGGCTTGCCAGGGCCTCGCCACGGAGGAGGACGCGCTGCATAAAATGCCTGTCTGGCACCATGGTCTCGCGGGGAATTGGCGACTGCATTGTGGAGGACCCACGGGGAGGGGGAATGAGGAGAAGGTGGAAGAGGACGGGAGGAGACGTGCTCTGCTTGATGGACGCCCTCGTGGCCGAGGGATTCAGGTTCAGCGATGTCCTTTGCTTCCATACCAAGGGCTCGGTCGCGAAGTTCGACGGCCGCAGGTTGAGCTCCAAGCGCTTCAGGAGCGACCAGCCACAGGCGCACTACAAGTGGTTGCCGCAGGCTGGAGGGCCCATCCCAGAGCAGGCCACTGCGCGAGAGTGCAACGCGAAGCTGGTGGAGTTCGAGGCAGCTGGCGATGACTGCATCATCGACGCAACGCTGAAGGCGGCGCCGTCAGAGCCTGTCCCAGGAGGCGCGCCCGCGGCCATCGCCAACATCGACGGCGACGATGGCAACGAGGAGCCGCCTGCAGATCCGCCACCGCCGATCGCTGCTGAAGCTCCTCCTGAAGTTCACGGAGATGGGGGCGACGGAGGGTACGTGGTGCCCGACTTCATCCTCGGGCAGCTCATCTCGCTGGAGGTCAACTGGCGCGGTGGCCGCGGCCTTCGGGTGCAGTGCCCGACCCACCATGGCTGCAACAAGTACAGGTCGTTGGCCATGGACGCGGCGGTGTTCGGGCCAGCGGCCGCTAAGCACTACCTGTCGACGCGGCTGGCTGCAGCACCGACGATGGGGGCCGCCGAGCACCGCACGTGGAAGCCCACCAGGGCCCAGATCCGCACGCACTTGGCGGATGCATGAACATCAAGATCACATCATCATCCACATCATCCTCACCTTAACACTGAAATCGCAATGGCTAGTGCCACCACTAGCACCATAACCGCCATCACCATTAGCATCACACCCATCGCCACCAATACTACCCAAAACAAAGAAATGAGGAAACCAGCCTTTCGGCCGAGGACCGCCCTGGCTTTGGCCCCCCCCCGCCCGAACCGAATCAGAACCTCTGGGGGGCAACCGCCCAGTAGACGGGGGAGGGGTCTGTCAGCGATTCCTGCAAGGTGCATGGGGGCAATATATTGATTGCGACCGGGTGCGCTCTGAGTTGGCATTATGCCAGGGCGCAAACTCGCTGGCAAGTCACCGCCCCTATGAATGTACGCGAGGTGGTGACAGGCCAAGACTACTTAACTATACCACCAAAAGCGTTGAGGTGCACTTACACAACATAAGATAACACGTGAACACCACGCACACAAGACTGGACTTGCACAACACGAGGTCGCATGGCACGCCAAAGCGAATGCCCCGTGCATTGTGGGCCCCAGGGGGAGGAGGGGAAGGAGTAGGAGGAGGAAGGCTCAACGGGGGGTGGCGATGGCGAGGGTGAGGAGGAGGGGGTGGTGGTGGAATTCTGCGTCTTGTCGATGACGACGTGCAGTGGCCCTTATAATGGGCTGGCTCGAACCTGGCCTGTAGCCAGGTTGAGGGTATGGAAGGCCCGATCCCTTCTCAGGCCCGTCCGAAGATTTGGTCGGCCCAGGCTGTCCCGCGCGTAGGCGGGCCAGCCCGAGCGGCGGCGGCACTCCTGCTGGACGGTAGGCACGGCCTGTGGCGCCACGCCTGCTGGACGGCAGGCACGGCAGCGAGAGCCTCGAGGGGACACCTGCGAGGCAAAGATTTGGTCGGCCCACGCCGTCCCGCGCGTAGGCGGGCCAGCCCGAGCGGCGGCGGCACTCCTGCTGGACGGCAGGCACGGCCTGTGGCGCCACGCCTGCTGGACGGCAGGCACGGCAGCGAGAGCCTCGAGGGGACACCTGCGAGGCAACGTGTGAGATCATTGGATGCGAGGCGGCCGGACCTCCTTCGGGCCAGGACCGCCTGGTTGGCGCGGCACAACACTCGCGCTCAGCGCCATCCGGAGCGACCGTGCGCCGATCTGCTGCAGATGCGGCACAGAAGAAAATCGTGGGAAATCCCAGAGCACGGGGGCGGGCGATGGGCGAGCCTCGCCTCAATCACCGAGTCGGCACAGCGGACGGGAGGAACGGCGGCGTCGAGCAAGTCAGCCTCTGCAATGCACATGCTCACCCTCCCTTGAACGACGTGGGCCGGGGCGGAGGCCGGGCTGCTCATGGCCTCGTCGTCGAGGGCGCCGCAGACCGCCTGCGAGACGGTGGTGGAGCTCGCCGCGGGCTCGGAGGGCAGCAGACCATCCTTGGCCTCGCCGCCTCGGGCGCCAGAGCTGATGTCCGCCTCGTCGATGGTGTGGCACACGTCTGCGGCTTCATCGCCACCCTGTGCAAATCCTGGTCCCGAGCGGACGTTCACGGCCCTGACTGTCCGGATCAAGCCGTCATCCATACGCACCTGGTACATCGCCTTGGCGGGGACCACGGTCAGGATCACGGCCGACATCCCGTTGAAGGCAGTGGCCTCTCTGAGCCCAATCAAGTGGACCTGAGCCCCCACCGGCTGCAGGAGGCCGGGGCCCTCGCCGCCCGCCGCGCGGGGGCTGGAGCACGGCGCCTGCTCCTGGTCAGGCTGCAGCAGGCTAGCCGCGTCCACGCCGTCCTCGTCGAGGTCGTCCGGGACCTTGGCCTGCTCCTGCAGCTCGCTCTCGCCGATCTCGCTGGAGTCGTCTGTCGCGCCTGCTCCCGCGCTGCCGTCGTCGTTCAAGCCGTTGCTGGGGCTGCGGCGGCGGGGCGTTAGTGCCCTGCGCCCAGCCCAGCGTCTCACCGATCGCTGCCGCGGCTGGGAGTAGGAGGCGACCTGCCACCCTCCCCTCGCGCGGCGCGCCAGGTGCCTGGTGAGAGCCGCGCTGCGCCGTCGCTGCGGCCGGCGCGCGGGCAGCGCGCCCTGCGCCCAGCTGCTGCGCGGCAGCACTTGCGGCGGCTCCTCCTGGAACCGGCCAGCGGCGTCCTGCTCGCCCGGCGTGTGCGCGGGGACGCGCAAGGTGAGCGGTCTTGGAACATGAATGGCAGCGGCAAACAATGGCTGCAACTGCATCTCCATGGTCGGCTTGTCCTGGGGCAGCGGCTGCAGCCCGGCGGCAGCAGCAGGAGGCTCCCCTTCTTGGACGCGAGAGTATAAGGCATCTCCGTCACCTGGCCGAAGAGCATCGCCATCACGTGGCTGCCCGGCCGCCCGGAGAACAACGTCAGGTAGATGATCTGCATGAACTGGTCGCTGAGCGGGTCGCTGAGGAGCAGCACCAGCGGCAGGCCGAAGGGCGGCGCGAAGGCGCAGCGCCAGGGTGGCGACATCGGCGCCCCAGATCGGCCTTCTGCGCCGGGCTGCATAGCCCAGGCGGCAGAGCGCTGCCGCCTCGGGCCTCGGGGCCAGCCGCGGGGCCAACGCCGGTGGCATCTCGTAAGCCATGGCAGGTCGGGGTCGCTCGGGAAACGACGCCCTGGGCGCGGGCTGCTGGTCGGGCCGGGGGCGCCACAAACCAAAATGCACCGACGGGAAATGTCTCCGTCGGCTCAAGCCCACGCCTGGAGGAGGGGGGGGGAGGGAGGAGGAGGGAGAAGAAGAAGAAGAGGACATAGGGCTAGGATGGCGATGAAGAAGCTGAAGAAGCGGCAGAAGGAAGGGGAGGCGGAATGGGGGGGGAGGGGGGGCGGATGGGGAGTGAGGAAGGGAGGGAGGAAGAGGAAAGAAATGAATAGGAGGAAAAGGGGGAGGAGGAGACGGAATGGCGAGAATCACGCGGTCATACAAAGGATGGGGAGGAGGAGGGGGAGGAGGCGGATGGGGGGACGAGGAAGAGGAGGAGAGGGGGGAAAAACAGGCGGCGGAAGGGGAAGGGGGACGAGGAGGAGCAGGAAGAGGAGAAACACGCGTGGGATTGTAGGGGGGGGGGCGGGGAGAGCCGCCGCGGGCGCGACGCTGGCGCACTGCCACGGCGAGAGCTTCAGATGCTGGCAGGCAGCGGCTTCATGCAGCGGCTCACTTCGCGCGGCTGCTCGAGCTGCAGCAGATGCCCCACCCGGCTGCGCGCGCAGCGCCCTCGCCGCACGTCCAGATGTCGCTGCTTGGCTGCTGCGTCGCGTGGAGCTGCGGCGGCTGATGTGCCGTCTCCTGCGCCGTGATCTTCACGCCGTAGGTCGCCCACCCTCTGACTGCTGGGCTCGGGCACTTGCGCGGCGGGCGCTGGGGCTGGATGCCGATGATGGGCGCGGGCTCGGCCGCCGCGCTGCCCTCTGCGCCCTGCATGGGCGCCCCCCCCTTCGCGACCTCGTCGTAGCCCCAGCCGTGGATGCTGTGCGTCCACTTGCTGAAGAAGCCCTCCAGCTCGTCGCACTGGCACCTCGTGTAGTCGAGCCCCCACGGGCCCGGCCCCTTGCACAGGCGGCCCCCGTCCTTGAGGTAGGCGCCGGCCCCCCTGTACTTCTCGATCGCCGCCGCCAGCTCCTCGATTTGCATCTCGAGCAGCGCCGACGCGCGTGCCCGCCCCATCCCCTCGCGGCAGTTGAAGCTCTTCGAGGCGCTGCCTGTAGTGGGAGTCGCCACTGCTGCCTGCGGGGGGCGAGGAGAGCCGAGGTGGGGGACGCAAACGCACAACTGCACAGCTGCGGTAATTCACCCTGAATGGCATGTCGTCACCAGCTCCCCCGCGTAGTAAGCACGCTGCCTCGACGGCGGGGCCGGCGACCAGCTGCGATCCGCCGCGTGGGCCCACTGCCCGCGGGGGACGAGCAGGGGTGCAAGAAAAAGAAAAGGCGGTCGTGGTGGAGCGTCGACGGTCCGTCGATAGTAACTGGCATACTGTGGCAGGACCAGCCTGCCCGCTACCTTTCCATCGTTCGGTAATAATTCCAGGAGCACAAGTCGCGGTAGCAATTGGCAAGCTGAAGTAGCGAAGCCATGCATGCCCCCTGGGCCTGAACCTGTCCGCGCAACCCAGTATAGCGCCCCAAGTCGCCATTGATATCTTTGGCGAGTTATCCCTCTCGAGACTCTGGTGGGTCGGCGCGGGGCCAGGAGGAGGCGGGCCCCGACCCGCTGGCCGCTTGGGCGCTCGCGGGGCCTGAGGCGCCACCGCGGCGCCTGCGGCGGCTGGGCAAGGAGGCGGGTGGATGTCAATGCACTGGCCGCGGCGCCAGTTGAGGTGGGCCTCCGCGGCCCTCTCGAGGCCGTCCTTCGGGCCCGCGGATCGGCTCCTCTCAGCGCCCAAGTGCGCCAGCGCCAGCGCCGCGCCCTGCTTGAACAGTTCCCCCTTGGACCCCGTGATCTCGGTGATCTGGCCCTCCTCGATCTGCTGCCGGTGGAGCGCCGCGCGGAGCGAAGGGGCCGCGTCGATCGAGTAGAGGAGCTTCGCCCCGCGAAGGCCCGTCTCTATCGCCTCGCCGGGGGCTCGCGGCGCTCCTGGATCTTGCGCTGCAGGAACACCTCCGCGATGAACGTCACTCCGCACGGCTGCTCCAGCTGCTCGAGGAACCCCGCGAAGCTCTGAAGGGCCCACTGCATCGACGGGTCGAGGTCTGGTTTGTTATTGAGCGCCTTCGCGAGCTCCTCGACTGGCGTCGCCGCCGCGCGGCCGCGAGGTGGGCCGAGCCCGTGGCCCTTGCCCGCCGCCATCACTTCCCTGCCGCACTCTCGGCCTGTCTCGATCTGCGCCTGGGCCCCGCCCCCCTGGAGGGACACGAGCCGGAACTCGCCTGCGAGGCGGCTCGGCGCGCGGAGGTCCGCTGCGTTCTGGAGCGCGAGGCGCTGCAGGGCTCGAATGCTGTAGCGCAGATCGCCCTGGACTCCGCGGCCGCCTCGCCCTCCGCCGCCCGGGTCGCCCTGCCCCCCGCCTCATGCCGCCTCATGCCGCCGCTCATGGGCTGCTGGCTGCTGCGCCCTGGCCGCCTGCATTCGCCTGCTTCGGCGGGCGGGCGCGGGCCTCCTGCGGGGGCGGGCGCTTGGCGCCAATTGGCGGCGATGACGCGCCAGTCCGCTGGCATCACGTCGCTGCCGAGCGCCGCGCGCCGCTGCCCCCTTCGCCTCGCGAATTTGATCGGACCCAGCAAGATGTGCCCGTGCGCGCGCGTGAAAAGCCTCGAGATCTCGACCCTGGCGGGTACAGATAAGGCAAACTAGCGCGCGTGGCCCCTGGACAGCGCGGCCCCACTTCGAACGGCCCTGGTGACAAATGCCGCGATAGTGGACCGGTCTAGTAGCACGGTCGATCGCGGTCTTGCGGTCCACGAGAGTACTGTTGCACCAGGGGCACTGGTTGGTAGTTGCGACGGATGCCACCACGGGTCGCACGTCGCGGGCTTCCCGTCGGTGGCCAGCCAGGGCCGCGTAAGTAGGAAAGCGCTGTCCGCAAGTAGTCTCGACCCCGTCTGCATCTGTCGCAACGTGGCCACACCAGTAAAGTCGCACTAACGCCTCCTCCTGCCCCCCCCCCAGCCCCCCCCCCGGCCGGTCAAGAACACCCCATTTTCGTTCAAAGCTGCACAGGGCCCTGGGGTCTGTTTGTAACCAGCGATTTTGTCCCATATTACCCTGTTCGAACATGGCAATGTCCGAGCCCCTGCTCTCGCACCGCCCCATCCCCTCGCCCATCGGTGCTAATGTCTGCATATCCGTCGCAGACTGCTCTGCCCAGGGGGTTAGAGTCGGGGCCGATCCAACTCATAGCTGTTCGTCTTCGAATGCCTCTTGAAACGTGGAGCCGAGACGATCCGAATACTAGTGCTGCGCCATGCTCTCTAGGGTAGCGGGCCCAACTTTGGCACCATCGCAATCGTCGCACCATGAGCGACACACTCGCGCGTTCCATGCGCCGGAACCGAAATCCGCCGATCCGGCGCGTGAGTTTCAAGGAGTCTCAGCTACAGCCTCGAGGCTGATCCTCAGCCTCTGGGGGGGGCGCCGGGGCGGCTCTGCCGGGGAAGGGGGGGCGGGGGAGGGGGGGGGGTGCGAGTCTCCGGCGGATGCGGGGCGCTGCTTTTACAGAATGCTCTAATCTCGAGGATGCGCTGGAAGGGTGGCCGCGGCCGCAAAAGTCTCCGAGGGCGGTCTACGAAAGTCCCGAGACCCCGAAGGATCGCCCGAACACGCCCAAGATGGCCTCAAGACGGCCCAAGAGCCTTCCACTACGTCTGAAGAGGCCTCCAAGAGGCCTCCCACGATGGCCCCCAGATGCAAAAATCGTTGATCCCCATCGTTTTTTTTTCAATGTGTTTGGGGTTGCCGTTTTTTTTCTGCTGCTTTCCGACGCTCCAAGACGGCCCAAGAGGCCCCCAAGACCGCTTGAAGACGGCCCAGGAGGCCCCCAGATAGTCCCAAGACGGCCCAAGAGGGCCCCAAGGCGGCCCAAGAGCCGCCCATGACGGCCAAACAGGCCCCCAAGACGGCCCCAAGAGGACCCAAAAGAGGGACGAAAAGCGGAAAAAACAATCTAGCCTTCCAGCCCACGAGGCCCCCAGGAGGCCCCAAGAGACTCCAAGGGGGCCTCCGAAAGCCCCCAAGAAGCCCCCACGACGCCCTGACAGGCTCCTAAGATGGCTCAAAAAACGCCCCAAGAGGGCGTCCTTGCGCCGATAGGCTCGCCTCCACCGCTCGCACCACATCGCCCACGCCACATGTTTCGTAACACGACTCCGTGCACGACGTATCGTGAGTTTCCAAAGTGATCGGCATCCTGCATGGAATTTTCATGTCATTATTATTCCCCGCCCCCACGGTCACTGCAAGCACCCCGCCGTTGCCAGACCACTGTTGCGAGATGGCTCTATTGACCCAACTGCATTCCTACGCCCTTTCGAAGGTAACCCGAGAAGTTTGCGCGCTTGAGTGTGCGCCCATAATGTCTGCGTCTGGAGAATAACACCGAGCGACCCGGATCGGCGGCACTGGCCGACTGGCCGAAGGCCACTACAATACCTGTCGGAGCTTGTTGCATCGCGTGGTTCCGTCCTCCCATACCCAAGACATCGCCCCGCATGCCAGTGTGCGCAGGTACCTGCCCAGTACACTGTCAATGGCGTTACGATGGGTCGTAGTGACGGCAAAGGCAGCAAGGCCGCTGAGTGCTGCACCTATGACGAAAGCCATGAACATCAATCGTTTGATTTGTCTGGGCGTCTCGCTGATCCAGAAGGTGCCGCACTGTCGCCGGGCGACGCGCGCGGCTGCGACGCGCCCGGCGATTTCGCCCGCGACGCCCTGCCCCGCAGGGAGGCAAGGGCCGATCGCCCTCATCCCCCGCAAAGCTAGGCCTTTGAGCGCGGTGCTGCGTTGGGGCTGGCGAGTAGCACCGCAGCTTCCTTGACCATTGATGTAGAGTAGGTGGTTGGTCTCACTGCGGTTGAGCTTCTGCAGCATCGCTGACAGGCAGTCGGCGGCGCCGTTGACTTATTCCTCGATCTGAGTCGCACCCCCCTGCGGTGAGACGACCTGCACGCGAGTTCTGTCGCCCGTGAGAGCGTCGAGGCCTACGCCGTGAGATTTACCGCCTACTGGGTCTCAGGTGTCGCGCAGCCATCGGTTGGGGCCGCTTGTTTCGGCAACCCACCACTGGCCCACGTAGATGTTGTAGGCGTCGTTGAATTGTCCGGGGCAGAGCGAAGCCCATCTGGGCGCCCGCGGCGCTTTCAATCTCGATTTGCCCGCGTCGAGGCTGAAGGCAGAGCGGTCGATCGTCGCCATCGCGAAGCGATGGTCGCGCTCGCGGGCGTTCTTGAAGGCAACTGCCCGTAGGAGCGCCCAATCGGTAGCTGCAAATGCGCCGGTGCCGTCATAGTTGGCAGTAACGGTGCTGACTCCACCATTGCGGTCGCCATTGAGCAGCACGTGCACAGAGTATGCTGTTTTCTCGGCACCTGTGCGGGATGCCGCCCTGGGCCCACGGGGGGCGGTCGGGCGGTGGTCCGCGCTGGTGGATGCCGCAGCGCCAGGCCATGCCGAAAGCGTCGTAGACGCGCGGTAGTCGTTTGCCGAGGATGCCGGGCTCGTTGTTGCATTTTTTTGCCGCCGAGAATGCCTGGGAGCGGTGCCGATCTAACGGGGTGGTCTGGCAGCTCCGGCACTGGGTGAGGAACTCGGTTAAGTAGTCCTGGCACTCGTAGTCCAGCTCGCTGATCTTCGCGGTTCCTAGTCCTGCGCAAGTCCCCCTGCCCACCCCTCTCCCAAGCTCGCTGCCCGTCGTCCATTCCCCACATCTGCAAAGGCTCCCTGCCCCTCTTGAACTTTCCGAATGTAGTGTGTTGGGCTAAGTCCTCCCCATCCTTTCTCCGCTCAGCTGCTACTATTCAACGCTCTTCGAGCTAGTAGGATAGTTTGGTCGGGTTGTGAAGATGCAACATGGGGCCCAACATAACCCAGACGAGCTCGGTCGGAACGCCCCAAGCTGGCCGGGCCCGCCGCTTGCACGCGCGTCGGCAATAGCGGAGCATAGCCCTTTTGTCATCGGCAACCTGTCCCTGTAGTTCCGTGTCTATGGTAGTCGGTCTACGGATTCGGCAATGCATTCGCGATGCTGGGCTCGCTCGGCTTCTCGATCGGTCGGGGTCGCGGCTAGTCCCCCGCCTAGTGCCGGTCGACTAAATCCCACCAGCCCTTTGGGCGTGAGTGGTTTAGAGAGCCCGCTCTGTTCTCAACCCCCTTCTTCCCCTTCGGGGAGGGGTTTACCCCTCCCCCTACCCCCTCCCCC